GTGCTGAGGGGCCTGAAGATCCTTACAGGTTGTAGAACTGCATTCAGGAGTCAAAACAAGAGACCGAGAAGCTGGATTCGCTGTCCTCGAGACACACAATATGTCAGGGCATTACACAACATTACAGGCCATTACCACTCAGACCATTTCATCTTTTATTCACTCCCCCAAAGACACAGTGAAGTGATTACATAAATGTATCCAGTCGGCTGTAATTTGGAGTGTTTTGCTAGACATGAACATTAGCTGACTAGCAGAGCAGCGTCTTAGTCGGAGGGGTGAGTTTGGATTTTACAACCCTTATCCTCAGTCTGTTTAACACTGTAGGTAAGGAGTGAGTCTTGTACAGCTCTGAATTTAAGTCTTCATAACCTGATTGTAACTGAAGTAAGTTGATCCTCCAAGACAGTTAGCTAAAGTGAAATGCAAGGCCTGGTACAAACTAAAATGTTGGAGGACTTGTCCAGTGACCTAACATCTGCCAGCATGTACACATAGGGATTACAGTCCATGTATTTATAAGAGCTCTGTTTCTAGTGATCTCAGAGCTTGGAATTTATTTGATTTGTTGAACCAAAATAAATGCCGCTGGACAGGCTATTGTACCTCAGCTGGGATTTAATCGGCCCAGATGGAATCGAACAGATTTGCAGGAAATCAAAATAGAAAGCGTAATGCAGCCTGTCAGGTTTGGATCCTGGGAGCTGGGCTGTAACAGGGGGAAGCCTTCAGAGAGGAGGCTAATCACTTTCAGATGACCAGAGAGTCTCGTCCCAGTGAAGACGTGAATGTGTGCGCTCTTTTCTGCGTATTATTGTGCAAATAATGTCCATCTGTGAAGTTTTCGCAGAGGTTCTCTTGATATTACTTCGACAAAAACAATGAGATGAATTTATAATTGGAGAAATGTGTTGCGGACTGAGATCAGATTGAGACACCTCATCAGCCGCTTGTAAACTCCGAAGACAAGTCTGTGGAAAAGTACAGCGCAGAGACGTTTTGGTTAAGTTCACGAGAGGCTTTGACTGGCCTCGGAGAAACTGTGCCTTTGAAGGGCAGAGCTGCACTTTCCCTGCCGCCATCTATCACCTCAGCTTGTCTCCTTTTCTTTCAACGATGACAGACATAAATTCAGAAACATCTGGCACTTAACCAGAAACTTGACTTGATCTCTCAAAAGCGCCGCGTGGCATCTCAGATACTCAAACCGTTGGGCTTCTCCCGTGTATCGTTATCGTAGCCCCCTCTAGTCTTTTAGGTCCTCTTGCTCATATATTCCCCCACCCAGTTTTTTTTTTTTTCCCCCCTCTTTGATAAGTGAAAGCCCATCCCTTTCCTTTCTGGGACAGACATATAACCTCCCTGCCTCTCTCATGACAGATGACTTCACTCACTCATTGTAGACCCTCTATGCATGGGGCAAATCCCCAAACACTCCAGCACACAATCGGCGCAGCTGACCTTGTATAGCAGTTGCAGCTTCATTAAAACCCCCAGATGCCTCTTAATCCTGCTCCACCGGGCCAAGGAATAAACGGAAACCTCCCTTGTCTATTTATGTATCAGCACCGCGCCGTTGTCTGACTGATACTTAAAGAGGCAAAAGATACATAAAAATGATTTAAATCAAAACAGTAATTCATGCAAGTCTCTCTAAGATGCGTTTCAAGATGAGGTGGAGCCAGGCTGTGTGCTTTGGCAGTGTACGATTATAAATGTTGTTTCTTTTTAAAACTGCAATAGTTCGCTCTGGCACGTACTCACAGTAAAACGGGAATCCAGTTTTCAGTTATAACCTGGACATCCTCCTTTGCCAATATCAAATTTACTTTCCAGGAACTGGTTCTTCCAGACTGTGTAAAGACTGTGTGTTTCTAAAGGCTGGAACTTGTTTGAATAGGTAAACCTACAACAGGTAGAGAGGGAGGTTTATCTCTCCGTGGACTACTTTTTTTTTTTCTTTTTTTTTGCAGGTGTATGTTTTGGCATGGGTGTGTTCTTACTTTGTGGAAGCCAAGAAATTCCTCCATAACATCCAGCGAGAGTTGAGCAAGTCTGATTACAGATATTTTTTTTTTTCTTTCTCACAAGTTCAAATGATAATATAAAGAGCCAAAGCCAAGAGGTCGACCACTGACCCCGCAGTGTCGGTCTGGTATGTGTTCCTCTATTCAAATGGAGACTTTTCTCCTGAGACCGAGTAGCTGGAGCCGTTCAAAGACCACTTAATGTTACTAGGGCAATTTCAGCCATGCACTTAATCACATCAGTATTGTTTTTTTTTGCCAAAAAGAGAAAAAAAAAAGTGATTGAGACTTGCTATTCAAAAGCTTCAAGGACATGAACTTTCAAATTTCAGAGTACAATATAATTACCATTATGCTGAGTACGTGCTGTTAAAAAAAAAAAAAAAAACACTGGAGTGTCGCCAAATGTTCAAACTGAAGAAGTGTGTCACGCTAAGGTGCAGTGGATTTCTGATGTGAATCGTGACAAGACTGCACCTGTCTGTGTGTTGGTGCTAAAGAACGAGAACATTGAGAGTTGGTTCTCTATCAACACTGATGACGAAGAGTGTTTACACCCAGCTACAGAAAGACTGTGTGTGCGTGCTGTTGACATCGCACAACACAGTGGTTTCTAAGCTTCCTGTGCCTGACATATTTTCAAAATGCATCTCTTACTTTAGCTTTTAACTGTCCGTTTATTCGTCCATCACTTTTAGATAACTATTTCAACGTGTATACATTACTTTTAGCAATTATTTCAAATAATTAGCCATTTCTTTCAACTATTTAGGCACAATTTTCAGCTATTTAAGTAATTTTCAAATACTTCTAGCCAAGAATTTCAACCACCGATCCATTAGTATCGCTGTTTAAACAATTTAGCAATTACATCTGGCCATTACTAAACACTGCATCCGTCTACTACGTCTCGTTATATACTTCAACTTTTGTGCTTGCTTGCTAGTTTTTACCCTTTTCACTGCAACACTTGGCGCGTTATAGCATCTCCGTCTTGTCCCTTGTGTGTGGATAGCATTTTTTTTCTTCTTCTATTAATCGTAATTTTCATTGTCTCATATTAGTTTCGCTCACAGTCTTTTCCAAGTCTGGGACAAAGAAGATAAATATAGTGTATTGTGTGTTTCAGACAGTATAATCTCACTGTGCGACTTGAGGATTTTCATTTTTGCCAAACGTGTGAAATTCGGTCCCACACTCCTCTGAGACTAAACCCGGGGAGAGGTCGTACATATTTATTTGGCTCACGTCTTTATCTTCCTTTGTTTTATCTTCCTTTATCTTTTGTATATCGTTTTTTTTCCTCAATAGGTTGAACCTTCTTTGTAATGTTACTATTCCCCTCACAGCTTGTTTTGACTGCTGCACAACTCTCAAAAACAGAAACCGAGAACTGCAGGAAGCCACAATAGCGAGAGTAGAAATTATCTCTTGTATCCCGAAGTCGGCTAACTTTGCCTTGAAGATGATAAGGCTGCTAATAATAAGAGCCTCATGCCTGGTTGTGGACACTCTTGACTGAGGAAGTAATTAAGTTCAAGCAGTTTATCAGTGGCTGGCCGGAGATGTGCTGTCTTTCTGTGATAAAGAGGAGCTGGTGAGGTATGCCCTTTCTCTCAAGTGTCCACCCCACCCTATTTTTCATCTGATCTCCCCCCCTCCTTCCCGCCGCCACTCTCCTTTCTACATCCACTTCTCAAAGGGGAAGCCCAAAGCAGGTCGAGGCGGCGAGCCATCATGTCACTCATCCCTCAGCCTGCCCCCGTGTGCTCTCCTCAGATGTCCAATCAGCCTAATTTTAGCTCGTTTCAGACGACCGTGTTAAATTTGGCAGCGTGTCCCAAAGCGTGCCGCGACGCGGATCCGCTTGCGCTGCATGCAGAGTGTGCATGGAAAGCGCTTTCTGTTTTCTTTCTTGCAGTGATGTTCCCATGTGGCTTCTATTTTACAGTGAGCAGAATTAGCATAGGAAGGGCCATTTGGGAGGGGGCTGTGTGGCATGGAGAGACATGTGACGCAATTTTTAGAACGCCCTTTCCCTTTTTTCAATGATCGGAAAAAAAACAGCTGATTTTAGCATCCTGACACGTAACTGAAAATGTTAACGGGGTACAGAGCTACATTAAGTCCCTGTTGCTGAGACAGTTTGTTATGTAAACACCTAGGACTTGTGGTGGTTCGTCACAGCTGTTTGTACACTGTACATGTTTCATTTATATAAAAAAAAAGACTGAATGTAAACTGGATTCAATAAAGAGAGGCCTTTTCAAACATCAACAGTTTGCATTCCATGAGTTACAGTAGTCGTGGGGACTTAAAAGCCAAGTTAAGGAGCAAAAATAGGGATAAGAAATAAGTTAGGTAAGAAAATGTGGCTCATTATTACGGGACCTTGAGCTAGAGCCAGAGAGCGGGGCTAAAACACACCATCTTCTATTCCTTTAGCGTTACATAAAGCTGTTATGTCCTTTTTTCACTGTGCAGCCACTGGCCTGCAGCCACAGTATGCCCCCACTTAAAGGCCTGATATGTTTCTAAACATGTAAACATTGATGTATTTGTTCATATTGTTGAACTACAAGCCTCAGTACAGGGAGTGCATTAGAATGAATATGTTATAAAACAGAGAAGCCGGAAGCCACCATTTGTTTACAGAGGCAGGTATGATGAATGAACAGTGTACGGACAGAGAATATAAAACAAACCAGTGTTGTACACAGAAATATGCAGAATACTAAGTGGGTGCATAAATTAAACTTTTTTTTTTTTTCCCCACTTGCAAAGGCTGCAAATTGATTCATTTTCTGTGACTGCATTAGCCGCAGTGCAAATAAAGTTATGATGTTATCCAAATAAAAATGCTTGAGCGGAACAAATAAAGGCTCTGTGTGTTAATTCAGATTGAAATGTTCACTTCAAAACACCACAGCCAAGTGATTACATAACGCTGCTGTGTGCTTTTTTTTTCCACAGACAGTGAGATGGTCCCACTGGACTGCCTGCGTCCTCGTTCTTTTGCTGCCGCCCACCGGGCCTCCATTCAGCGGAACAGCGATGACCCTCGCCTCTCCATCAGCCTGTGCGACTTGAGCCTGCAGCAGCAAGAGATGCATCTGGAGGAAGATGATGAGGAAGAGGAGCAGCTACAGCCATTAAGCTCCTCTTCCTGCCATGTGCCCCAAAACTCTCAGAACTCACAGCAATGCTCGCTGCTGCCCAGCCACTTGGACACTGATCTGCACTTTCACTCGGTGCATGGCATCCATGTCACCGTGCTGGATAAGCACACGATGGCGCGGCTGGATCACCGCGGTGACGAGAGGACGCTGGTGTTCACCAGCCGGCCCATGCGCTGCTCAGAGACCGTGTTTGTCAAGGTGAAGGCAGGTGTCACGAGGCCCGGCTGCCTTTCATACGGTGTGACATCCTGCGACCCGGCTACCCTGAGGCCCAGCGATCTCCCCTCCAACCCAGAGTCCCTGGTTGATCGCAAGGAATTCTGGGCTGTGTGCCGAGTGGCGGTGCCGCTCCACAGTGGGGATATCTTGGGCTTTGTGGTGAACGCAGAGGGGGAGGTTATGATGAGCCATAATGGCGTCAGTGCAGGGATGCAGCTGTGTGTCGACAACTCCAGGCCTCTCTGGATGTTCTACGGGCTGCACGGCGCCATCACACAACTCAGGATTTTAGGTACACTCGCTTGACTCACTTTTTCCCCCAAACAGCACGTCTTTTGTTTTTATGTCAGCAGCAGAAAAAAAACCGATTGATTTGGTTTTAATTAAGTTTGGGAATTCAAAACATACTTTTTTAAAGTTAACATCTAGCTTTTTTTTAGAATGTCACAATTCTCTCTGAAAACAAGTAGCGCTCAAACAGAATTGCTGACTTTTAATCATTTCAAGTTCCTTATCATTCCTTTTCAGATTCAGGAGTGATGTTCATGTTTGTGGGCTGCGGAAGGAAAGAGACGCTCTAAAATTTTAACTTGCTTGCAGTAAGGAGACAACTAACTGCTGAGTCACAGTCCTTTTAGAGCATCACCTACTGTTCGACAAATAAGAGGATTCGGCTGGAAAGATTTCAGTACAGACAAAAAGTTTCGTACCAACTGTAGTTTTAGCAATAGTCCTAATGATTAATTTAACTATTCAGAGTTCTCGGAGTTCAAACATGTTCCGCAGATCTTTACAAGATGTCATTTGTAACTTTCCATTCAGAAGTTAATGCAGTCTGTGATCCTTGAATGACCTTTGGAGGCTGATTTCCCACTCAGCCGAGTCATGAAATAGTTTCCCCCTCCTTTGCTGTCTGGGCTGCACTCTGACTTTTTATCAACTCATATATCGCTTGGGAATTTACATTCAGCCCCCACGATTTGCATATGAATGTTAACTTTGTACCTTCAGTCGAACAGAATTTCTGTCAGCTCAGTTTCGTTCCAGCAGATTTCACACAATGATACCGCGGCATTACCTGGAGTTAACCATGCCTGGTGGTGAGACTCCGGCTCCCTGGATGTGGGACTGCATGCACAGCTCGGGACGAAAAATGAACAAAATAAGAACATATAAAGGCTCGGCAGCTGTTTAACGACAAGCAGTGATTAAAGGTTGTTGTCGAATTTAATCTGCAAAAGAATTCCGTTTTATTTTGAAATCGAGAATGAAACCATATATGTCGGGGACTATGCAAATGCTGCGGTGATGATCACAGGCAAGCATGCTGAAGATGTGTTTTTGATGAGGTTTGGAAAAAAAACAGTCTCTGGTTTGTTCGTTTCCAAGCTGTGTCCAAGATCTTCAGATCATTTTATTATTGGATTGTTGACTACATATTCTCTGTGCGTGCAGCAGAAATTTTAATCTAGTTTGGAGAATTTGGAGAGACAGCTGAGATGATGAAAACAGTCTCTGGTATCACTAAGTATCACAATTTTCTAGGACATTTGACATTCCGCATATGCCCTCATTTTGTGAGAGTCCAATTTGAGCTTGAAATATTTAGTGTGACTTGCTCGGTTTTAAGAGTCCTGCACTTAAAGAATCTTAAATTCTCTATTTTTCATAAGATAGACATGTAGCGCTGCTTGGACCTGCTGTATTTTGATGTGCAGCCAGCACAAATGTGAGTGCTTTTGACGTGTTTACCATCCCGGCATATAAAGACATCCATCTTAATTCTCGTATTCAAGCTAAGCCGCTAATGAATCTCTCTCAGCAGGACAGACGTCTTTTCACAGGAAATCTATAATTTGAGATGAGATTCACAGGTGGTCTAAATACACTGGTTAGTTAGAATTTGTCGATTCGTATAATTTGCCTTTTGCAATTCATTCTGCTCTCCTCTCCTCTCTTTCATGTTGTCAGTCAGACCAGGAACTGAGGAGGTTATTTCTGTCTTGCGTGGGCTCTCAGCAGCCAGCATTATGTATCAGGAGGGGGCCCCGTGATAGCTCCTTATGATGCCCTCCATATGCATTATTAAAATGTAATTGCATGGAGATTTGAGATGCTGGGTTTTCCACCCACGGCCTGTTCCCTTAACACTGGTCCTCCAGTCGTCTCTGTACTTCCTCCTTTCCTCGTGCATTTTCTTCCTCTTTTTTCCCCTCCGTCCTGATTCTTTGGGGTATGAGCGTTCTTCGAGTCATTACCCACTCCAGCTGTGGGGAGTGCATTTGTGACGTCCCTGCTCACCCACTCGCTGCAGCCGCACGCCATGAGTTGCCATGGAAACATCTAGCCACTGAGGCAAGTGACGGTTTGTCATGGCTGGGTGTTGTCAAGCCTGTGAAGTGGAACAGATGGGAGTCTGTTGCTCTCACATGGTCATTTTGTCCTTGTTATCTCAGAAACCACGATTTTATCATTTCATCTAAGATATTTAGGATCAGCAGTGGCCAACAGCAGTCGTGTATTTTCTCATATCTGTGGCTCTCCTTGTCTAATTCCTCGTGTGCTCGTCATCACAAAGAAGCTATCGTCTATATTTCTATGTAAACAAATTATCAGATGACTGCATGTCAATGTGTGTGAAAGGGTTCTTGTCAACGACGAATTATCACCGGACCCTGCAGACATTTCAGCATCTTTCAGCTGATTGTTTTGATTTTATTGCTCACTAATTATAGTAGTGTTCTGATAAAAAAATAAATTAAAATTAAAAAATGAAACAAAAAGTAGAATTAGTGTTAACCCTCTGTACTGAAACTCTATTTCAAATTCATTTTTACTTTCCTTTTTGACACCTGGCACTTTTTGGGAAACAACTGTATTTGCATTTTTACTAAAAACAGTATTGTGTTGTAGTTTAGTTTTCTTTTCGACTGATTGTCGCATCCAAAATATAGTTGGTCGACCTAATCTATAGGTAATCTTGCAAAGCAGTGAGTAGCTTCTAAGTACTAAACCTAGGGCAAAAAAACTGCAAGCACTCAGTCATTCCACTTGCAGCTCTTCTCTGAGCTCATTGCTCTGTAATAACTGCCACAACTCAAATGATCCCATCAACATTTTTAGAAACACTTGTGGACTATGGTGGCAGCACAGTAACAGACCACTGTTCTTCAGGTCAAGTTTTCAGTAAGAAAATCCACCCACAACAGCAGTTAGAGTGATGAAAATAAGATCTTAAAGATGAAGTAGACATGTCCTCCCACCAGTAAATTATGCCTCTGTGCTCTGCAATATACAGCAAACACATATGTAGCTATCTAATGAATAAAGCTCTTAACCCAGTTGCTAAAGAGCAAGACGTTTCCCTCCCCAGGAGAGGAGGTGGCGAGCAAAACAGAGCTCAAAGGAGAGTGAATGTCAGGCTTACATTTGGCAGATGTATGTTAATTTTGCTCTATAACTGCTGGATGTGTAGATAAACAACTGCTCGCCATATCATCTTAGAGGGTAATATATCTCTGTGTTTGATATGCAAGTGTTGAAAGCCACCATACACATGCTCAACCACAAATAAGTGTCTTGCACTGCCAGCATAGCTTAAGACTCACACACTCGTGGTCGCACAGCCAGCAGTAAATACATAATACAAGAGAAGATGAAAGGTACCCTTGATGAAAGGCTACATGAATAGACATGAAGGTTATCCATTCTGCCTTATTAGAGTTCACCAAGTAATTTACTCACAGCCAGGCTGCCACATAGGTCAGTTTAAGTTGGTTGGGGAAGGCTGTGTAAATGCTACTGTATGCATATGTCCCCCTCTATCCACTATAAAATATAATGCAATGAATAAATAAGCAGACGACTCTGAAAAGTGTGTGTCTCAGCAAAGCGGCACAATCGTCTCTCCCAGCGCTAACCCTAAATGCGAGCAAATTACGGAAAGGTTTAAGTATAGATGACCAGAAGTCCTGTGCTCATGGAGGCTTTGCTGCATCTGCTGATTTTTTTTAGTAGCAAACCGGTTGTTGCATGACCAAAAAGCTACTATGATTTGTTTATGTAGGCTGAAACTGAGACTGCAGCGGTTGAAGTGGTCTAAGGAAAAGGCATCAAAGTTCAGAGCACGCAGCTGAAGTTATGCAACAGTGTGTATACATTTTTGTGCTGACAACAAGCCACATTTTGTGTTTTTTTAAGTTTACAGTAGTTTGCTTTTTTTTCTGCAATGTTTCACCATCTGCGGTTGTGTTTTCAGCTGTTTCTCCACTCCACATTGTCATAGCAGGAACATTTGAATAAACAAACTGTGGCATAGGATGTAAACCAATATTACCAATATTAGGTAATTTGACACATGGAAGGATAGCGGTGCCAAGTAAAGCTATCGGCCCGACTGTGTAGCAGCATTTCTGCCATGGTCAGTTGAAGGACAATGTGTAAACAACAATACCGCATGCCTGCCAGGCAGACGAGATCAAAATTTGTCTGTCTGTGGATTCGGGGTCGGTATTCTCGTTTGTGAGGAGAGATGAGCTGCCAATGTGAGAACTGATGCCAGAGCCGGTGGTTATAGTGCGCGGATGGGGACGGATCATACGGGACAGACAACAGATAGTGTGTGGAAGTGTTTTGTACCCTACCCAGAGGGATCATGGGCTCACGAAGGAGGAAGGAAAAGGAGTGGGGAGACTACATCAACTCACAGGCTCCTGACTCACTCCTACACACCCACGCACAGACACCGTGGACTCACAAGTCATCTGCTTGGTGATAGAGTCGGCTTAATGTGTTTAAGAGAGAGAGCGACAAACTGAGACAGCGAACGGGATGCAACGAGACATCTATTCTCCTACATTTGCTAATTATCAGCTTCGTGACTAAATTCTCAAAGATGTGAACGACGGACTCCCCATTGCAACATGTCCATATTTGTTACTTCCTTTGACTGTATATAGCGTGACCCAGATATATTTTCTGTGTCTCCAGGCTCTTCTCTGCATCCAGACCTTCGAGGCCCATCGGTGCCCAGCTCTCCATCGTGTACACCCAACACTCCTATAATGCTTTGCAGCGGCAACTCCGAGTCCAACCTCAACACTCCGATGAACATTAACCTCAACTCAAGCCTTAACTCCAATTACCACTCGCTATTTTCTTCCTCCACAGGTTTGTCCAAGTACTCTATTCTCCTCTCTATGTGTTACTCTTTATCTTCCTTCTCCTTGAATTCTCCAGAGCATTGCTATTGTCTCAACAGTCCCTAATCCCATCACAGAACTGGGGGAAATAAAACTATCTGATAGGATGAGCAGTTCTGTTTTAACATACTGTGTAAATACAACTATTTACTTATACCGTCTTTTAGAGTCCACGTTTTATCTCAAATTTCTATTCAATAAAATGCAGATGCACAGGAAGAGCAATAAAACAGCCATCAGCACACAAACACTGACTGAACAGCACCAAGACATCAACTCACGATATGCATGTTCGCGCATGAAGCAAATATTTACATTGGTGATGGGAAGCAGTGATCCCCGACATCACTGCAGTCCCAAGCCGCCGACGGTATGACAGGAAAACTCCTGACAGATAATGACGGCAGCAGGAGTGATGATTGGAGCACAAACACAATTATTCTTGCATAAAGTTGTCCTGAAGCTTCATTAGCAGGGAAAAACAGTGAGCGGCGTATTGACAGCTTAAATAAAGTCTGCACTGGATATGCAGTGTGTTGCACTGAGCACAGTGGGAGTGTAGCTGTGTAACTACAGCAGTCTGCCTGGACTACCTGGAAGGCTTCTTACATTTATTTTGACAGTTTTTCAGTTCGCTTTCTCTCGCACCCCCACACTCACACAATCTCTTATGTCTTTTCTCTCGTCACCTAAGGTACAACCCCGAGCTCTCCATTCTCTAGCCATCCGGAGTCCCCCACCTTCCCATCCTGCTCGTGGAGTGACGAATGCACCATTTGCTACGAGAATGTGGTGGACACGGTCCTCTACGCCTGTGGACACATGTGTCTCTGCTACGCCTGCGGCCTCAAACTGAAGAAGATGGCCAACGCGTGCTGCCCCATCTGCAGGAGGACAATCAAAGACATCATCAAGACCTACCGGAGCACGTAGGCTTGTGTAAGACAATGTCAGGGTCAGCTCAAGACATTGTCAAAGCCATGTTAAGACTTTGTAAAGACACAGCACAAGTGAAAGCCCTGCTTGTTTGTGTGTGTAATCTGGCTCAGGTACTCTACGACAGGACTTCGATCATTGAAACATTTTAATAATTATGTTACGTCTAAAGCACACACCTTTGGAAAGCTCACAGCGGCTCCAACGAGATTCATCAAAGACCATCGAAAAAGAGTGTGATCATCAAAAACTAAACATGTGCTCCTGCAATACCAGCACAACATCACACCTTGACCCAATTCTGCTGAAGAGAAAGAGTAATCTGAAGAGGCATCTGTCCTACTTCCTGTGGAGTAAACCTTCATTCTTAAGTAAAATTGTCCAGAGCTGCGGAAAAAAAACACGGGGAATAAATCTGTGGTTTCACCAGCTGCTCCTCTGCTGCTTGTCAGGGACCACTGGGTCAAAGTGTTATTTTAGAATAACAATCAATTCGTTTCTAAATCTGAGAGAGAATCAGGAAGAGATGGTTTTATTTGAGATTTCTAGAAGGCTCCCAGATACGAGAAAGAATTGAGTAGAAAGACAAAGAAAGAGTTTTTGTAGTGAAAATGCTCCTCCAGCAATAATACACAGTGAAATGCCTAAACCTAAAGGGTAAAGAAATCCATAAAGAAACTCGGTTGTGTAATAAATGAAGTGCTTTGCAGAATATCTCACCACCTGCTGCGCTTCTGTGAACTTCAGGCAGGGCGAGACTGTGCAAAGGGTAAAAAAGTGTGAACGTTGTCACCATAGAAGGTCACGCTTGCTGTGAATGAGGATGTAAATCAGTGACGAGGGAGCGAGGGAGGAAGGAGAGGAGAGAGGATGTTGTATGTTTGGGATAGACAGAGGAAGAAGGGGCATCTTTGCTGTGTCTGTTTCGGTGTGAAGAAAGTGGAAGCTCGCTCAGACATACCACATACATCTGAAGTTTGCATGAAAGCCTGTAAAATCTGGGACTTGCATGGGCAGCGTGTCTTGCTTCTTGGCAGCTGTCCCCACCATCTCTGGCTGCTCCGTGCGCCTGCTGGATGCTGTAATTGCACAAAAGTCATCCAAATAAACATTGGTGGGCAGTAAAGCATTTTCAAGATGCTAAAAGAGCACATTAGACGAGGAATCAACCTCTTCATCACAGCAAGAAAGCCATGAAATCCCATGTAAGTCACAGATGGCTCTGCTTACTTCAGGTTACGCACTTCTCTTTTGTATGTATATTAAATTAAAACATGAATATTTGCTTTAAGTGATGATGCATTGATGTACATTGTGTCTTCAAGTGCACAAAAATTCACACATGTGCAGACAATGACAAGGATGTAGCTTGTTATTGTGGTGCATTGTGAGAATTTGCATATCAGTTTCTGAGTGCTGCTCTTCACCGGTAAAAGCAAACTCCAAGGACGTTTTCACTCGACTAATGTCGTGCATTATGTACTGCTTTGAATTGTTAAGAATTTTTCAGGTGTTATTCTGGCCTCGCCGAAACATTACTTAGTGATTTTAAAGTAGTAAGTAAGTCTGATTTGTTTTCAAGGTGTTGAAGTTTGTCATCTCGTCACTCTTGGGGGAAGATTTGCAGTTATGTTCTGTAACATTTGAATGACGGTTACGTTTTCTTGTGTGCCTTTAAAAAAAGAGAAGTCTGGACAAACTTTGGTGTGTTAGGCTCCTCACTGTGAAAACCAGGAGGAATACCGAGGTTCATCTTCATCTTAAAGTCACTCTTTCGTGGTCGTGATGCCTCTGACGTGAGCAGGTGTAACTAACGCAAACTACAAAGCTGACGTGTTTGACGCGAAAGCAAATACTTCAGTGTGCTTAATATCAGTGTGAGCATTTATTCACTGCTAAAGATGAACTGTTTAAATATCGCCTTGTTCCCTCTGTCTCTGCGTTGCATAATACTGGAATTTTGTTGTGAGTGTTGAGAGATGCTCAGCTTTTACATTTCTACCTGGTTTCCTTTTTTTTTCTTCCTGACCAAATATGACCTAGCAGAAATAAGACATTGTGGAACATTTTTATTAGTAAAAAAAAATTGGTATTGAGGAGTGTTATATTAACTGTACATTATGAGGTTTATTTATTTTTCAATGCTACTATAAAGAATTATCACTGTTAGTTTCATATGTGTGGCTATAGTGTCCATAATGTAAGAATATTGTTTATTTTATGGTTGCATAGTCAAAGACTATAGAAAACCTTATTCCCCTGAAAGGCTCTGTGGTTGTGTCAGCTGACTTTCTCTTGAAAAAGTAGTTTGACATTTTGGGAACTGCTTATCCACTTTGTGGTGGAGAGTTAGATGAGAAGATCAATACCACTCTCCAGTGGCTGCATGCAGCTAAGTACATTAACTCAAGTACTGTACTTAACTACAACTTCACTTGAGTATTAACAAATTATACTTGTACTCCGCCGCATTTCAGAAGGACATGTTCTACTTTTAGCTGCTCTAGACAGTGATCTCATAGCTGTAGTGGCCAGCCACGTTGCATATTAAGATTTTGCACACCAAACACAGCACGTTATTATAAAATATGACACGTTGGTACGAGAATAAAAATAAAGTACCAAACAGACGAAAGGATAAAATGAGTTCACTCTCGACGATGCTGCAGCTAGGAAATAGTTTAATACTTACTGCAATAATAGGACTTTTTTTTTCTAACATTGTGATTATAGTCTTTAACTTCATCTTCTCTGAATGGATGCTTTTACTTGTAAAGAAGTATTCTGACACGGAGACATTACATCGCACTTTTACGTAAGGCTTTAACTTAACAAATGAAATGACATAAACATAAAAACACGGCGTTACCTGCATCTGCGGCGTCACTGCTTTAACGCAGCAGAAAGTGGAATATTTCCCTCAGAAGTTCACAGAGACCAAAACTAGTTTGGACACTAAATGTACTGGACTAAACATTTATCAGGTGAACACGACTCCACATAAATAACATTTTTACTGCATAAATGCTGGTCGTATAGATACGCAACTAGGCCCAGCTGCGTTTATAAATGATGCAATTCCAAAAATAACGCTACAGGTAACACCTGGCTAACTGAACTTAGCACAGAGACTGGACACAGGTGGAAACTGCTACCTGCACTGATTGACGTAATCAATACGCAGAACGCAGCACGACCCCTGACTTCACGTCGCTGGTTGCCAGGCAACCGGCCTGTCAAAAAATAACAATAACAAAATAGCGCATCAGAATCCGACCCTTAATCCAGTAAAGATTATGAAGTGTCATTTTCACACATATTTTACCCACAAGTGAATTACTAAGCTTTTGTCCTGTTTGTACTTATATTTTGTTATCTTTGTACATGCTAGCAATATGGCCTACTTCCCGTCTGTGTGCTAAATCAAGCTAACTAGCTGCTAGCTGTAGCACTTTATATAAGAGAATGGTATCCATGTTTTCATCATATTTTCTTTTCCCAAAATGCCAAATGTTTGCTCTCATACCATATACTAAAATGTTTTTTTTTGTTTTTTTTTTTAAGGAGAATTAAATGTGTAAAGTTGGCATTCTTTACCTTTACCTTTCTGGTAAAATTATGTTTGTCCTACTTGAGTATATTTAAATTGTGTTGTAGTGAGTAGTTCCATTACTTCTGACAGCCTGTTTTATTTTCAGACGTGACCAAATAGTTTCAGTCCAAACGAAACAAAACCAGCAAATAAGCGAAGGTGGGCACTGTGTATTTTGGACAAGAGAATAAGAGAATTGGCTCAAGGCTTTGGTTTGCTGGGTTGGGATTTGTATTAGTTGTTTAAAAAAAACATTCTTAGTGGTTTCTGAATTTGCTAATTATGTTCTGTTTGTTAAATAAAATTTAAGTCGGAATCAGTGGCTTTGCCTCGTGTCTTATTTCTAACATTAAAAGGAAGCATTCTGAGCACAGACGGCTCTTCTTTAGATGCAGAGGCAAAGTACATCCTCTACTTTGGTGACTAATTTCGTGACTCAGTCGCAATAAAAGTGAGAACTGACCATTTCCATTTCGCTGTTGTGGTCCTTTTATGTTTCATGCACAGCAGGAAACTGAAGTCTATCCGGCACAGACGGGGAATGAGAGCATTAGTGCTATTACCTTTTTTACAAAATGATACAAACGTTTGATGATAGAATTACCTCTTGCACAAGAAAGATTCAAATTCAGATTCAAATTGGGCTGCAGTTTGTGAACAAAAAGGCGACCATCTCTCAGACGCCTAACGCCCAACACAATCACTCTCCACAGTAGTATACTTGACTAACATCCCGCCATATACTATATGAATAACAAAGGCAAGGGCTTTTAGTAAACGGCTATAACTCACAGAGAAACTGTTTAGAGTAGTGGTATGTAGACCTGGCCAGAGTGAACATCATCTGTTATTTACTACCCTGCGGGCCTGGCTCTAATGCAGCACTGTTTTATGCTGCACTCCAATAGGCACAAATACAGCTCACGACGTCCAGACATGAAACAGGCAGCAGTGGCTGCCGTTCATGGCCAAGTGTTCTCAGAGGTGAGAGGGAAATACACAACCAGGGTCTGTGAAAGTGACATGAATACAGTATATCTCGCCGGTGTCTGTGTACACACAGACTTTCCACTCAGACCTCTCAGTGAACCTGGCTTCGGGCCTTCTGAAGGCTTAAGGGCTTCGCAGATTTGTTTGAGCTGTGTTGTGGTATCTCTTCTAGACAGCTGTTTGGTCAAACGCACACACCGTCTATTAAGGTTTCAAATTTGTATTCCAAAAAGCATGACACTATCGATTTCGAATTTTAACTAGACATCAGACGGTCTGAGTTTGTTCCTCTGTTGTAGCTAAGGCTTTAAGCTGTTGGTGCTCTGTGTGATGTAAAATCTTTTTCCTCAATCAGATTTGAAGCGTCAAGGGACGATCTGCAAGGAGAAGTGTAATTATATTAAAAAAGTACAACTTTGTTCATAGTCCAAAATATCAATTGAGCGGCTTGACTCCTAAGCTATCTAAACACTGGGGTGACGAAGACACAGGTGAAGGTTACTGTGACGCTGAGCCTGGTTTGCACCGAGATGCTGAGTGCTGCTGCCCTCCAGTGGCCAGAAACAAGTCCAGCACCTTGCACACGGGACAGAAACCCCACAGACAAAACATGAGAGATGTGTGATGGGATTAAAAATGTTTCAATACATCACAGAAGACATCCCTTTCAACCGCCCGATCAATACCCAGTAAGTATCTAATCTTTTGTGCTTTATAAATAGTATTGAAAACAGTCTGTAAAGAGGAAAATAATAATGACCTTCTTTCACAGCAGAGCCAAAATATTTCATTTTGACCTTAAAACAATTCAAAAAATTTACAAAAACTCAGCACCAGGCATAGATCCTATTATTTTGTACAAGCAATTTAAAAGTCTTCATTCTCTCGAATAATTATATACATAAACTTGACAAAATGCTCTTTCCGGAGCATTAAATCACATTTTACGGGTGTAATCAGTTTGCTCAGCGGTCAAACTGCAGTTTTTCGGGTCAACAATTAACTTCCACACTCAAGATTAAGTTTTGCTTTTTTTTTCTTCATTCAATTTGAGACACAATGAGTCGCACAACACCTTCATATTAGAAGTTATCAGCCTGTCACTGTGTCGTGATCTTACCTGCACATCTTGCATTTTGTTCTTCTTCTTTCCTACCCCTGTGATTTATCATGTGCATGCACAAATAACACTTTAAGCACAAGTTTACAATGCATGTAAATACACACATTTACAAAGTCAGTAGATAAATGCATTAGAAACGACAATTAGTTCCAAATCAATGAGTGTTGAGGAAACAGCCAGTGGGATGGACATACTCCACATTAGATTTTAGGTGGGAAATCTTATTACATTTTAGACTACAAATCCAATATATTAGAAATGTGCAGCGTCTGACAGCAGAAAACTGCACCAGTGTTTTGATTTGGTGTCTCCCCGATAGTATCTGAAGGTGACGATATTGTCGACTCCAACACCACAATGGTAACTTCAACTTCTGCTTTGTCATTTGATGCTAAATTAAGCAGCCCAGTGACCACAGAATGAAAGCAATCTGAACCAAAGTCAAACGTGCTGGTCGTCCCGAAGCAGAGGCTGGCTTAGTGCTGTGAATGAGAAATGAAGGGAATGCCAGTATGATCTCATTTATTTGCATAACATCATCTCGCTGGTCAAACACTTCAGCTGTGTTGCATATACACAGATGTGGGATTATGTAGATGTAAACACACTCAATGCTGAGATCTTTCATTTATTCCAACTAAGGCATGAATTACTAGTAATTATGGCCTGCGATGAGTGTACATTATGTTGTTTATTATCCGGGACATTAATTTACTATTAATTCAGATGGTAATTACTTCTTTTGCACGACGACTTTCAGAGGTGGCTGCCTTTAAAGACACTTGCGACACTAAACGAATTAGGCTAGTTTTGGTTTACAGCATTGTCTGAATGCATGCCAGTGTGAAAGTACAGCCCATTATTTCATCTTTAATTCTCACTTTCCTGCCATGGGCTATTGACTCAGAACCTCAAAGTACAAAAAAAGAAAAAGTGTTCTTGGAGGCATTAAAATATGATCAGTATCCTATTTTACATAATTAAGATTGTTAAATAACACCAGTTTTGCTCATGAAACCTGAGTTTGGGATCCAGTGTATGAAAGAAAAGTTTAAAAAAGAAAAAAGAACGTACTACTGATTATTCAAAAGTGCATTTATTATAGCAATTCTTTTGGCACTTCAGTTATCATCGTCACTGGTCAAACCGTTAACATAAAACAAAAGTGAGCATCCTCCCCTCCCCTCCGAAAGAAAAGTTAGGTCAAATTTACTGCCCAGCAGAAATTCAAAATGTTATTATGGTTAATAGAGCAGTTAAGTTTAGAAATGTTTAAGCAGTTGTGATTTTCTTTTCAGTAAGAACATCAACAATAATAAAATAAGTATTAATATGATTTTTAAAGAAATGAATAAATATATTTTTCACTGATGTTAGGGAAGTTTTAAGTTTGGACAATTTGCCTCTGAAATGAAAAAGAAGAGCTCATCAGTGAAAGTGTTTAACTTTAAGGGTAAGAAAATACGGCGATAATCAGAGATGCTCACAAATTGTTTCATTAGGACAATACTACACAATTAAATGGATAAAATATTTCACATAAAGATGACATACAGTATAAAGAGATATAAAAACAAAAACAAAAAAAACATGCAGCACCAAGATGAGACTAACACAAAGCAGCTTTGGCAACAACAGAGATTTTCTTTAAGGAAAGGACAAAAAAAAAAAACAAGTTTAATTTCAACAGCTCAAGGCATCGTCAGTATAATGAATCATTTTGAACATGCAGTAAGCTTTTAAATTCTTAAAAGGTGTTTAAAAATTACATTATAAACTTACAGAAAAGGGTTCAAGGAGTAGACACAAAATGACATCTTATTTCAAGTTAAAGGTAACGGCTGGAGAATGTCATTAAATCACTCCTCGGCTCTCTGGTGTTCTCTTTGGCTGTGTCACTAAGTCCCACTATATTGCTCTTAATGCAAAGTCTCAGGCACTGTATCATGTAGACTCATTTTACCAGATGTCTCATTTCATTTCAAAGTTAAAATTTGATCTGGCTGCTTGTTTTGGCAAAGGTACCGGGTAAGATTTCAATCCTAACTTAACTTCTTAGGGTTAGCCTTTTTTCACAAAATAAATGCATCTGTTAGAGTAGTCTTTACACGCATGTCCAGAGTTCTGCCAGCTCCACACATGAGTGCTAGTGCTTTTTCTCGAGGTAATTTGAGGGAACCCATCCTTTCCTCGGTCTGCCATTGTCCAGAACCTTGCAGTACCACCAGCCATTGGGGTTTCTTTCGAGAACCTCCAGGCTCGTCCCCTCAGGAAACCCCATTGTCTCCTCGTCACCATGGTAATCTGCTATGGAGACATACACCTCTCTGAGGTTGTTATGGATGATGTGGGGCTTGGGTTTCACTGTGGATACAGGGAGGGCATTCTTCGGAGAGCTCAGGCCGAGGGATTCAGAGCTGCCGGTACCGGATCTGTTCCTGTTGGGCAGTGCTATGTTGTTTGGTGCCAGGCTGCGGGGCACAGTGCCAAAAGAGGCATTGCGTCGCACTGTGGGGCTGGCGCGTGGGTGGTCTGTTGAATTGAGGGACTCATTTCTCCTGAGAGAGCCAACAGGGCTGGGACCGTCTCTGATTGGGGCTGAGATGAAGACAGACTGAGGTCTGACAACCTGCTGCTGTTTGGTGCTGTTCTGCTTCAGCGAGCCAAACAAGCTGTTGGGTTTGGAGAGGCCACCAGGAGGCTTTGAGGGGATTGGAGGGGTGACTTTCTTTAGGTTCTGGTTGATGTTGTTCAGCGCCCTCACCCTTTGTTCGTTCTTCTCCAGGCTGTTGGACTTGCTGAGGCTTCCAGGTTTGGTCGGGGTGCCGTCAGATTCAGATCCTGCTATGTCATCTTGTTGCCTGACGGGCTCTAGGTAATAAGTTGGAGCCCAACCCTCTGCATCTCCCCAACGGATATACCACCAACCACTTTCCTGCTTCTCCAGTACCTCCACCTCCACTCCAGCAGGAAAGCTGAGCTCAGACTCTTGAACCTTCTCATAGGGATCTGTGGTGCGATACAGGCAGCAGCCTTCCAGGTCAGAGTCTCCCCGGCTGCCTTTAGAATAGATGGAGGAGAGATCGGATGTGCTCTGAGAAGAGAACGAGTCCTCAGAGGAAATGACGGAAGCTGTCTCTGAGTCCTCACCTTTAGTTTTGGTGCCGTTCTTCAGCTGCCCTGTTGGCCGCAGCTGTCTTCTTAAGG